GTTAAAATTTTGAGTTGGTAAAATAAGTTAAAATTTCTAGTGAGCATTGCCAGTCTTGAATTACATAATTTCTTCCACTTCTGCTTCAAGCGTAACAAGGACATTACGTAACTTCACAGCACTTCCTGACTGCCTGGGCTAACTTGAAATTTCGAGTTCACTCGTCAGAGTTAAATGACTTATATGAGACTGTGAGACTTGGATCTGACAAAAGAAGCATTTGAGTTATTTAGGTGTAGGCTCTGTGACGAGCACTTCCTGCCTCAGCGAACACAGTGTTTTTATTAATATGTATTGTGAGAAGGATCTTGTTCTATTCTATTAAACCGATCATAACTTTGTTTATTGCACTGATGTTGAAGATCTTGTGGTTTGCAATGAGCTTTGAGTATGATGCAGATAATCTGAGGCTGTTCATTAACCAGCCTAAAATATGTAACGTGTTCAGCTGCACATTTCCTTTGCATCTGTGCCAACTGGTCATTCTGTCTAGTTAAGAAACACCTATGAAAACAAACTATCTTACTGAATATCTGTATTTTTTAATGTGGCATCACTGAATTAATTAAAATCAATTATTTTATGGCAAACAGCAGAATATGTATTTTTTGATGCAATGTGATGAAATCACAAATGAAATCATGGTTACACAGAAACATTCAAGACTGATTCTCAAGTGCTCGAATTTTACACTATTCATACTCTGATTAAAATAAACTTAAAAAAAGTGGACAAGCGGTTTTTATGTTTTTAGTCATATTTTTAATAACAGTATTACCATCCCCAGTAGCATAGTTTTCTTTTCGAATTATGATCTTTTCCTAAAATTGCATAAACAATAATCTCATGGCTGAAAGCTTTGCTTTCACCATTTTTCAGTATTTTCATCTCTTGGCAGTATGATATGACTTTAGCTGCCAATGACCTGTTTTTGAGTCCGATAGCTGCAGTGTTGGGGAGTAACGGAATACATGTACCGCCGTTACGTATTTAAAATACAAAATATG